TAGTTTGGAAAGTACTTGTTCGCTTCTATTTTCTGGATCGATGTTATGAATGTCGTAATCTTTTAGGTTTTCATATTGGATTTCGTTTACTTTGACCAATTGGTCGAAATTAGTTGTGTTTAGAAGTCGAATGTATACATGTTTGGATGCTGCTATTGTATTTGCAATATAAATTCCATTATGTATTTCCTGATTAGGAACGAAAATGTAATCATTTACGGTATTAATGTCTATTTTTCGAATAACTTGTGATCTGGCTGGCAGAAGGACTGTATTGTTGCCTGCGCTATATGTTATCGGAACGTATATTGGATATTTTAAATTTTGGGGTCTAATTATAAGCCAGTCTTCACTTGGTTTGAAATCTAGTTGGCAATTGAATTTTTTTATAAAGTCAATTCCTATTATTCCATCACATGGTATTGAAAAATTTGAGTCTACCAAATGAAATTCATGTGGAATAATATATTTTGTTGATCGAAGTTCTATTGAGGTTGTTCCATGAGATTTTATTACGCCTTGGCCTATGCCTTCGATGTTTATTATTTTTTCATCGTGAATTTTGAAGTTATCAGAATTTACTTTTAAAAGTGAGATTTCTGCACCCGTATCTATGAGGAATGTTAGTTTATTTTCAGTTGAATGATTATAGAAGGTTACGAATGTATTAAGACTATAATTGATGGTATGAACTTTTGCATTTATTGATTGTTTCCTAAAGGGTTCTGTGAGTTTTCCGACGTATTTTGCAACATCCTCACATTGTTGTTGTTATTGCTCTGATTGGAGTTAACTCGGCCTCTTCCTTGGTTTTGACCTCGTCTTCCTCCACGGTAATTATAGTTATTATTGTTGTAACTGCTACCTCGGTTGTAATTGTTGTGGTAGTTATTTCTGTCACGATTATAACCTCGGCCTCCTCTATTATTGTTATTTGCACCTCGTCGATAATGGAGAACAGTGTTACTTTGACCTGTTATCTCGGTGCAAGAGTTGACAAATTTGGAGATGGCTTCATTCATGTTTGTGAATGTGCCTGCTTGCATGATAAGTTTAACTTTATCGATGGAGCAATTTTGTGTCATGGCCTTTACAGCTGCTGTGGTGCTGTATTTATTTGCAATGGATTGGCTGATACCTTCACTGATATAGGCGCCTTCAAGGGCCTTCGTCAGTTTTTCCACCTCTTGGGTGTACTGGTTGGCCGTTTTGTTTTTCTGTTGCAGATTGAGGAGCTTGGCAGATATGACTTCTACCGATTCTCCTTTTACTGCAGTCGACAGTTGGGCAATAATTTCATTAATTGTTTGCTCATTACTGATGAGATTCCTAGCATGGCCTTTAAGTTTTGTTTTTATAAGGCTTACGGCTGTTGTCTCATGAGCGCCCTTTAAGCTGTCTAATAGACCTAGAGCGTCTAAGAAGCTTTGCAGATTTTCATGCCTACCATCAAACTCTGGTATCAGAGATGTGGCTAGCCTGATGAATTCTGTTACTGTCTGAGCCATTTCGGAAATTGTTATTGGTTCAGGCTTAAATTCGATTTGATCGCTTTCCTCTAGTGTTTCAATGTCACTATCGGATTCAGCGTCGCCTGTTTGAATAGATTCATCTAGCCCTTTGAACTGGTCAGGATCGAATTCCACCAATTGATCTAGGCTTTCTGGCACGTTAATTGCAATATGTCTCCTGTTTTTGATATTATTTAATCTTGTATTAAGGGATTTTATTACCCTTAGACATTTGTTGCAGTGCTCAGGTGTGAATCTATTTTTATAGTTATTTACTAAAGTAACTATATTATTATATTCGCCTACTACAATTTCTGTGTGGCTTTTTAGGGTCTCTGGTTTAATTACTGCATCTCTATTAATGCATTTGTAAGATTTGTCAAATCTATAGCGAAAGTCGTCAATGCGTTTCGCTATTTCGCTCCATTCCATTCTTAGATTGTAGCTTCTTGATCATTTCTTTTTTTTTTTTTTAAACCAGATCTAGAGGGTTGGCCCTGCCGACATATCTTTTTTTTATAATTTTATTATGCTTAACATAAAGTGTAAGCAAAAATTGTAGAACTAGAACTACTGTTATAATTAGTAGTAAAAGTCGCAAGGATTCAATATCTTCCCTATGATCGATTATTTTTACCTCATTTACTACATTGGCAGTGTTGTCACTTGCCTCCTTGCTAGAGCTAAACCATCCCATTTTAAATTATATATTCAATGGAACCCTTCATTAAAAGAGAAAAAAAAAAATTAGATATTCTATTTCTTCTACGAAATCAATGAAAATAAAATTAAAATTTTCTCTTTTTTTTTTTTATTTTACGCTTGTCATTGTACCAAAACCTTTTTTTTTGAGTGTGAAAAAGTTAGTGTGTGAGTTAATGTGGTTGGCTTACAGATTTAATTACAAATTTTTAAAAAAAAATTAAAAATCCAACCACATTTGTTAGTAAAAGCCTAACAGAGATTAGTATTTTTCAAGCAGCGGTTTCCCGCATCGGCTTGAATTTAGAAGTTAAAAACTAAGGCAAATTGGGGCATTGGCAAAATTTTGCAGCCCGTTTGCGTTATTTCGCACCTTGCGAAACTTGGAAACTTGTCTTCTTGGATGCGCTCTTTGTAGCGTTTTTCGGCTGCCTTGTTTAGGCAAATTGGGGCATTGGCAAAATTTGCAGCCCGTTTGCGTTATTTCGCACCAGTGCGAAGTTTTTCTTCAATTTGTTCCAAACGCTCTTTGTAGCGTTGCCGGTTCTCTTCATCTTTGGCGAGCTGGGTCATTTCTTTGACCAGCCGCCGTTGTTGGAGAAGCTTGACCCGACGGCCACTTCTTTTATGTTTTTTAATTATTTTCTTTTGCTGTCGAGCCCGATACTCAGCTATTGTGAGTGGGCGTGGTCCGTCTGTTGGGTTTTCTAAAGCTTCTTTTAATGTTGGCGGATCTTTCTGCCTTTTTGGCTCCGCTTTTTCGAATTCTGGCTCATCCGCCATTCATTTACACGGTATTTTTTTTTTACACATTAAATCACTTCGGTCCGGGTTCTCTTCCGGATTGTACAAATTATTAATTTGCCGTTTATGATGTAGACGGCTGTGGCGGAGGTCTTCCCCTTCCGGGTGGTGCGCTGCATACACTGCCAGAAATCAAAATTTCACTCACAGTTTGGTTCTTTAAGTCACGGTCGCCATGTAAAGATATGATATATCTTTGTCAAAAAAAGAGAGAGAGCGATCCGATCACTTCATGGTTCTTTATTTGAATGAATCTTCTGAGCTGATTTTGGGTTCAGCTAACCCGCACATATATTGCTTATCTCTATATATTTCTGAATTGCATTTATACATATACATATGTATGCAGAAGGCATGCATTCATAATGTCTATATCTAGTGTCTAGAAGAAATTCATAATTTGTCCGAAAACAGCGTCTTAGCGAAGTTATAAAAACAGTAAATGAAGGCATACAAATTAATAAAGTTATTAAGTGTATTACATGAAAGCGATCAAAGATTAAACATTTTATTATTTAATTTACAACAGTTAACGGAGTATGTAGAAGATATTGAACTTGGAATGCAGTTAACAAGACTTGGCATTTTTAATCCTAAATTACTAAAACATGATTATCTAACACATATAAACTCAGAAAAACTTTTACATATTATAACTTCCACAACGGATACAAATGAAATTCTAATATTTTCCCATATTCCAAAAGAAATAGTAAACATTGCTGAGATCACCTTGGATAATGAGGATAGATCACTTATTGGATATCAAAGATCCTTTTCTCACGTGTAGAAGACTGGACCAACAAAGACTGGATAACAATTACTTCGGATGTGGGCTATTTCACCTGGGCTATAGTCACCGATCGTGGCCACCACCTGGTTCCGATCCGCACTCTGTACCACTACAGCTACAGAGGCGTCACTGTGTAATAGGTGACTGTGTAATAGGCAGCAACGTGCGGCAACACCCATGCATCAATCCCACAGTGACACCTCCTGCAGCAAATGGGGCAGGTGGAGGATCTTGCGCGCAACTACCTGCTGCATCCATCTTTAAATCATATCTTATATTCTATAATTACACGTATTATGTAAAGAATAATACAGTGGGACGTACATATGTATATAGTTTGAGTATGTTTGTGTTTAATAAATATTACTTATAGATAATTAGATAAGCACTAGATAATTACTCAGCAAAAATTGTTGTTGTGTTTTATAGATATGGGTTTTTACAGTAATTACCGATACGTTGAAAAATTATAAGCCAAATTATAGACACGAGCAAGATCACACTTTGCTAAGATCACCGGTATAATCACGATAGATCACTTACTCGATATCAAAGATCCTTTTCTCACGTATAAAAATTTATTTGAACTTTATTTCAACTATAGAATAGTTAGAATTATATTTATACTTACTAAGCAAAAACTTAGATAGAGATGGGTTGATTTTCCCATTAATCGATTATTAAACGATGAACGAACGAGGGTTGCCAGGTTATATGATTATCTTCAACAGTTGATCATTTTTAAAAGTTAATGGATATACAAGGGTAATAACGGTTATACATTAATATGCTTATTCTACCACTTATGTTAAAGGATATTCTAGAACTAGAACGAACTAGAACTAGAACTAGAACTAGAGAACTAGAGCGGGTAGCTTTTGGTTCTTGTACAAGCTTACCGGCCAACAGTGCGGGTACTTGATGGGAGCGGCTCTGTACTTGCAAGCAGTGCATACTCATATTTGTTGCCCTGTTTTACTCCCACTCCCTATCTCTCTCTTTCATTCTCTCTCTCTCTGTCTATCTCTCTTTTTTGATTAGAATCTCTCTCCAGAGCGCGCACACGCGAATCCTTGGCCAGTTATCGTTACTTTAGCGAAGTTGCGTCCCCGTTGGCAGCGCTGCCGGCGTCGACGCACCGTCGCGGCGCCGCCCCCGAAATACGGGCAGTATGTCCTGCCATCGGAGTCCTTACTCGAATCCAGAGGCTCCCGAGTCCGCAGTTTTGGACAAACACTCCGAGAGGCACGACAGGGCCAAGCGCGCGCGCTTCTCGTGTCGAGAATTCTGTCTGTCTGTCTGTCTGTCCGCCAGCGTGTGCGTGAGCGTGAGCGTGTGGGTGCCTGTGTGTGCGTGAGCCAATGGCAGCGTCGGTGTTAGCCAATTTCAGTTCTGTGGCAAAAAATACCGTGCCGTAATCGCGCTAAATATATGTACGTGCAAAAGTTTGCCCCCCAAAACCAAATCCAAGTGCAAACGCAAACAAACATCAAGTGAAAGTGCAAGAAACAAATAAATAGCGTCCTGAAAACCAGCAGGAGCGAGGAAAAGTCTAAAGAAAAACCCATAAGCAACCTTGTGCTAGCAACAAAATCAACAAAGTGCGCCATCGGATCGGGAAATCGCGACCGGGTTGTGCGGGTTGTTCGGGTTGTGGGCTGCGGGCTCTTCAGCTGCCAGTTCAGCTGTCAAAAGTTAGTTTGACTCGAAAGCTTAATGTTTTATTTCCATTTCCATTTTATTTCTATTTTAGTTTTTAGTCACCTCACCCATTCCCATTCCCATCCTCACCTTTCTACGCAACCAAAGACGTGGGCGGTGCACTGCCAAAAATTGTGGGGAACAACATTGTCTTATTTAGGACCTTCAAAAGTCATCTTGCACTAGGGAACTTCATGTAGACGTGCACATATAGGCCATTTGTAGCTTAAAATTTATGTATTAATTAGCTTAAGCTTTATTGTAGCTTAAGACTTGGAGCTCCAAGATTTTCTCTGTACTTGAGACTTAATTCTTATGGCAATGACAGGAGCTCAAGGAGCTTTTCTGCTGCTCTTGTTCTAGTTGCTTCTCCTAGAGCCTTACTGGAAAAGTACACGTTTCCATAATTCCTATGCTAAATGCATCGCTAGCACCAAGCCAACATGTCCATGATAGTTTAGCCAGAATGCCATACGCCGCGTTGACCGCTGAACAAAGCATGGAAATGAAATCATACCAACCACACACAAACAGAGGCAATAACAGTTAAGCTCACCTGTGTGTATGTGTGTATGGGTGTGTGGGTGTGTGGGTGTGTGGGTGTCTGTGATGAAAATTGTGAAAAGCGTGCCGTGGCAAAAAAAAACAAAAGACAGCGAAATAAATGAAAAGAAATGAAATGAAACAGAGCAGCAATAAAAAGGGGCAAAAACAAAGGACGGGAGCTAATATCTGAACCTGACCAAAGTCCAGAGTCACGCGATGTTGCAACAACAACAGTTGCGATATATATATATATATATTTTAAAAAGACCACCAAGGTGAAACAAGGATGACTCGGTTTGCGTGGCGAGGGGTTAGTGCAGAAACTAGTTAGATCAGACTACTCCGCACAGATCCCTAATAAATCAAGAATACTGTGTCCTGACTGGGCAGACAAATGCAAATCAATTGAAGAATAATAAGCAAAATGCCAAGGCACTGGCAAATGGCAACTGGCAACTGGCAACCAAAAAGCGAAATGCGAAAAGCCGCCACACAAAATGTGTAGCATAAATAATTCCACCCACAACACATAGAGGCACAAACACAAAGAAAAAAAAGGTTACACAGTCAGTAGGGCGACACCAGTAGACTTTCGAACGCCGACGTTGGCGTCACAGCTGGCGGCGACGTCGACGCCAGCAGCGCAGTCAGCGGGGGCAGCAGGCCACTCGTACACACTCGTGCACACTCGCCCATTCATTCTCTCATTCGCAATCGCTCAGCGCGATGTTACTCTCTAACTAACCTACATCAACAGCTGTGAGTTGTGAAAAAAGTGCCACCCACGCAAGCCGCAAATTTGTGTAAAGAAATGCGATAAAAGCCGGAAATCGTTTTCTAAATAAAAACCAACTAAATAATATTATTTTACAGTGTTTTAGCTGCTGTTGATAAGTGCAAAACCAGCGGAAGGAGTAAACAATTAGCCAGGACAAATGAAAACGCCAGAGCGCGCTTTTCTCTGACTGTCACTCGCTGTCTCTTCCCTTCTCTGTCTCTCTGTCGCTGTCGCTGCCGCTGTCGCTGTCGCTCCCCTTCGCGGACTTTCGCACGGAACAGCTGTTCTCCATCTCTATCCTGCAATTTCCCGCTCTCTCTCTCTCGTACTCTCACTCTCTCTCTCTCTCTCTGTGGTGGAAGCATTCTCCAGCTTTTCTGCCGCGCCGAAGCGTGTGTACATAACCTAAAAACCTACCGCGCTCTGCATGTTGCGGTAGGCGGACGAAACGGAGGCGTCGCAGTTGCACACACAAGTGCAACATCGCCAGCAGAGCGACGGGGACGCAGCAGAGCGACGGAGCGGCGACGGAGCAGCGTTGATGCCGTTGCAGCTGCTGCTGCGCAGCCAGCGACGACAGCAGCAACAGCAGTGATACGAGCAGCAGCAGCAGCAGCAGCAGCAGCAGCAGCAGCAGCAGCAACAATCAGCAACATCAGCGCCCTGTGTGCACCGACAATAATATGAGGAGTGGCAGTTCGGAATTACTACTCGAGCAGCAACAACAAGAGCTACGGTTACGTAAAATCCGAGAACTGGCTCCGAAAAAGAAAAATGGCAATCGGCGCTTTCGTTCGTGGCGGGAACGTGCGCGTTTCTATGGCACCTCGACACTGGCCTTCTTCTCGGTGACCGCCGGGGCATCGCTGCTCTTCCTTGTGCCGCTCTATGTGGATCCGGCGATATCGACGCTCAGTCACGATTTTATCGAGAAGCCAACGCTGTGCACAACAACGCGGCGCGAGGATCTAGTGGGCATATTCAATTGCTCGTGGAGTTCGTGTCGCGAGGGCTGCACCTCCGATTTGTATCGCTGCGTGCATATCTATGTGACGTTCATTGAGCAGAACATTACGATACCGGAGAATATGACCGATTATAGCAACTTTACGTCCGATATGGAGCAATCCGGTGAGGCGACGCTGCTCGTCAATATCAAGGGATGCGGCTATCCGCCATCGGTGACGTGCAAGAATTTCAACGGTTACTACGGCATCGAGGGTGCCATCTTTCCGTGCTTTTACTCGCGAAAGAACAGGACCGTGGTGCTGACATCGTATAACCACGACGACCAGGTGGCCATGATCATTCATTTCTTCGCGGTGCCCTTTGTGATAACGGTCATCTCGTCCATTGCCCTCTGCATCATGCACTGCGACTGCCGCTGCAAGAAGGATCGCAGCCACCGACGCAATCGGCCGCAGTGCCGAAGGCCGCGCATCGAGAATCTCAGGTGAGTGGTGACGAATTCTCCTCTCCCTTCGCTATCTAACAATCCAGCTAACAATGCAGCTTCTTAAGACATGAATACAAAATAAATTCCGTTATTCTACTAATTCTACACATTCGTGAAAATAATGCCAGAATATTTTCGCATCTTAGCTTTTTTTTAAAGCACAGATTCTTAAGAAATGAGACTTTGTTATGCTTACCAAACTTATCGCGCCTCAAAAGCCACCCAAAAAGTGACTACCCAGTCTCTCAATTGTGTTATTCAAATACACATGAATTTAAAACGATTTTTATCGCGTGTACATTGCCTTCCTTGGCCAGTAAGTTAATTTAATAAAACTCTCTCAGCAGGAAATTCCTTCCTGTCTGCAATATTTGCTTTCCTGGCGTCGGCGTAATTTAAATAATTCACTAATGACAGTTTTTCCGTGTACGTGTGTAAGTACTGAGCGGAAAAGGAAGGGGGGGTTTCGAAGGCAAAATGAACGTGTCAATGGAGGGGGTGTTGTTATTTTGGAGTAATATGCGGTCTAAATTATTAATAAGACCAGGCGTCGCTTGTACTTGCCACCCTGCACAGCGCAGTCAAGGCAAAAGAGCACGCACCAAACACGCACCACACTGCGTATGATTGATATGTTGAGCTGTTGACAGAGCCGCCGGGGTTTGAGGTTGTCTCCGCCATCGACTGCTAATGGAATTTGAACTGAGGGGTGCGTGCTGCATTCCGGGAGACGGACAATTACATTTGACCGATCAAGTAAATAGAAAACAAAAGGCCATTGATTCGTTAGGCTACAACTCCATTGCCAGCTGGTCTTTAATGCTGCTTTTTATTGAATTCCCTTTGAATTGCAGCATTATCGAATCTGTGCGATTGTTTTGCCTTCCATTTTACTGAAATTTTTTTTCTTATTTTTTTCGAGTAAATTTCCATCAGTTTTCAGTACTCATTGCACATCGATTCAATCGATAATGAATTGGTGGTCTTTTTCCCCCGCTGCCAGTTGCTTCGGTCCCACTTCTGCTCCTGCTCCTGTCCGCCCATTCACTTGCTACGTGCATTATTCAAATGTCATGGCAGCCAGGGTGCTCTCACATGCCAAGCCAGGCTGGGCAATTTAAGCGCACCGAGTGTGCCCCGTCCAATCGAATCCCTTGTTTTCCAATGTCTGGCTCATCCAAACTGCTTGGCTTCGACTGGCCCAGAGGCTCCATCAATAATCCGGTGCAGTGAGAGGAGTGCGAGGGTCTTGCAATCGTTCTTTAACTCCACAGATTGCCGAATAATTGCTGCCCGTAAACGACCTTCGAGTACAAAGGTGACCCCATTTCAGTCGGATATCACACAGAGAGAAATCGCATCAAATAGGTTTCCTAAGAGAATTGCACGTTTTCATAGCATACTTGACGGGGCGTGTTTGAGAACAGAACATAAGAACATATAAATTCAATTTAATACAGGAAATTTATAATTGTTTATTGAAAGTAGCTTACTTTTAACACAGACAACGATATCAAAACACAATGCTTGTTCTGCTTAAATAAAGTAACCTTAATAATAAGCTAAAAAACTTGATTTCAAAATTAAGATGTTCCATTGTGCCATATTTTCGCTGTGTGTAGGGGCAAGGAAAAGTTATGTGGATGTGAGAATAAGTCTGCGGACAGCTGCAGGTGCATGTTCAACATATTCTCCCACAAAAAAAGTTAACGTTGCAAATTCCATTGGCAGGTGGTGTGGAAATGTATCTAATGCGCATATTTTAGCTTGTTTTCAACGGAAATCACTAATAAAAACAGTTGGAAAAGAGCTGTTGAAAAGTTGCGAAACAAAATGGCGCTATCTGCCAGGCACACACACACACAACCGTCAGTCAACCAGCCACCCACCGAGTGTGTGTGTGTGTGTTACGTAATCAGCTTACCTTTCGCTGATGCCTTTTCTTGTCGCTGAATCCGACTTTGTTTCAGTAACTGTTGGCGGTGAGGGATTTGCAGGATATCACTCACACGACACTCGAGTTTTAAACTCACTCGCAATTCGAATTCATGTGCTTAGCAAACTGGCAGTTAAGTGCTTCTAAAATGGATTCAACCCATTGCCAGTATGCTAATGATTATGGAGCAGCATTATGGCACTTTTGCACGTTGCCGCCACATTCGAGTGGCAGGCACTAGCACGATTCCGCATTAGCGCCACTCTTGGCCCACTCAATCATTTGGCCATAATGCAACTATATCGCAGCCAATACAAAACTGCCTCTGCAACTAAGTAGCCAGCCAACAGGAGTTGAAAGTCAAGTAGGCAAATTGTGGTCCATATGGATTCGATTAGTTTATACCGTAGAATTTCATGGTACATATCAGTTTTCATGTGTAAACTTATATAAATCAGCTTAATAATATAATTTATTTTCATATTTTTAGTGACTGAGCAAATAGTGTAATTTCTATTCCCTTATTTGTTCAATTTACTTTATTATTTAAATGTTGTATTACTAACGCTATTTGTAGAAGCCCTTTGTTCCCTAGACTTTAACCTCTATTACGAAAAAGAAGTTGAACGTAGAGATAAGAAGTATTTTGCACAATTAACAAATTTAATTAAATGTGCTCCCCAAGTGGTGTTGCCGAAAAATGCGCAAGTTATAAATAGCTCCTTTCGGAGATGATTAAATCGGAAAACTAAACTGACTCGATGGCTTTGTGGTCCCCCTGGCGAGGGTATGGCCACCATCAGCAGCTTCTCCAAGTGCAGCTCAAACAAGAGTTTAAGGGTTCAGCAGCGGGTGGGGATGGTGGGGGTGTCTGAGGCGGACGGGGGGTGGCGATGGATGCCATGGGGGAAATGCTCCTAGTGTGGCCTACTTCTGTTTCTGCTTTTGCGGCTGCCTAGAAGCGTTTTTCTTTGTGCACGGGTGTGTGTGCGTGTGGTTGTGTGTGGGTGTTTGTGTGTGTCTATGCGAGAGTGTGCCACTTTGTGCTGCCTTCCTTTCCTTTCCTTTCTTTTATTTTATTTTTTATAGAAAAATCAATTTTGCTCCTTTTATGAACAACGCAAGCAGCTGCGAATGCAACGAAGTCACGTCTTTCATTTTCCTAAATGATTTTTTACGAATTGTGTGTCTGTTTTTTGTCATGTGTACATGGCTACGGTCAGACAGCATACTTAAAGAATGTAACTAAATGGGATTTCTATCAAATTTGTCAATTTTAAAGGGGCTCACCTGCTTGGGAGCTCTGAGAGCTCACACAATCATGTGGTTCGTATTCCATTTGGGTTGGCAGTCTGCCGCAATCTAATGACAACAACAACGGATCCTTGATTATTGCTGAAATGCCGTTTAGTTGCAGACAGATGTTGCCCCATCGAGTGTCACGTATCCCTTTTGCCAAGCTGGAAACAATGGTGGTGGGGGTGAAAAAAGAAACGGGAGAAAACCCAAGATACCAAAAGATACCCAAGAACCATTGTTGTGGGCCCCTATTTTTTATTTATCTGTGCCGAAAGGAAACTAGAGGACTGCAAGCTATCTCAATCTTGGACCCACACACACATGTGTATCCTTAAGATGCGCCAGTCACGCGGAGACTTTCGCCTTGCCACGCCCACAACGCCCACAAATCGATATTAATAATGCGCAGCATATGAATGCTGTTCAATAAATTTCCATTTCTTGTTCGGTTCAATTGGAGATTGCCAGCGAATTCAGTCGTCGTCAGTCAGTCAATTCATGTAAATCCCCAGCAAATCCCTACACCTCTGCCATGGCCATTTTCCCAATGTATTTTCCCAGTTTCCCACTTTTCCAGCTCGTTTTGGGAAAAGTCTGCCGAGTTAGTGGAGACGCAGCAAATGCTTCATTAATAACATGAGCACACATTCCCCGGGGAATACATATTCATGAAGGTTCTTACGTAAATGCTAAGAAGTTTCTCTGTCCCAACTATGAATCCGGAATGGAACTGTGCACGACCAGACGATGATACATATACGGGGAATACGAGCCCTCATTGAATTTCTCTTTGAGTTGGGCAAACAAAACGCCAAAGATATGCTTAAGTCTTGGAATTTCTCGTCGCTGTCGTCCGGATAATTTAGGAGTCTGCATAACTGACTACAAGTTTTTTTTCAGACGTCCGACATTGCACACTCCAATCCGTGTTCATAAAAATCACACATGTGTACAAGCAGAGATATACTCGTATCTGGAAAGGATGCATGCATTAATATTGCACTAGAGGCGGATATTATCTAAATTTGAATATGTTATTAAAAGGAATTTATGGCCTCGCCAGCATATTCCCTTTTTAGCTTGACGACCTCTTTAGATGAGCCATCTCATAATAAATGGCGAACACACACACATATACTATGACGGACACGGATACTCACACACCTACAGCCGTGTTCGCAATAATAGAATAGTGAATTCCCAAAAAAAAATAACAAACATAAAATTAGCAGGACTATTTTAAAAGTTTTAAGTAACATATTATTGTATATAATTGTATGAACGCTTAAGAAAGTAGCAGTCCACGAAATAAAAAGGACTATTATCTTGAACGCAGCTGTCTGCTTTTGGCCAAGGAAACGCGTACGATTTTTAATGGTCAGACATTCGGTTTAATACGGCTGTAAGAACATCATATTAAAGGAAATAAGTATACTCAGACATATGGGCTGAATTAAACGGCGAGAAGAGGCAGACTTGCGACGAAATCAGTGTCATTTTCATTTAGCTTGTGTTCCTGAATGTCCCAAGAACGTAACATGAAATTCTATCCTTAGGGAACTGTATTTAAAACTCTCCTTACACGCGTCAGATTACCACAAATACACTTTGAATTAACAACATTTAAAGTTTTAACTGCACATTAAGGAATTCCGTTTTGTTCCTCCTGCTCATCCGCTTCCTTTTTATCCGCCCCCACCAACGCAATTAAGCTTCAAATGCAAATGTGTGAGCTTGAAACGCGCGCACCACGGGGCGTATG